CAACTTATTGATCGACATTCAGCACTACAAACGTCGCATAAGGAAGATTCCGACCGCATTCCATTCACTCTCACGTTTCACCCTCACAACCACTCAGTTAAATCCATCATTCTTAAAAACTTTAAATTACTTCAAAACGATCCAGAGACAAGCACTATCTTTTCGCAGCCTCCGCTCATTTCATTCAAACGCGACAAAAACATAGGCAATTTTTTGGTCAGAAGTTCTTTTCAGACTAATGACCAACCAGGCACTTTTAAATGCGCTCGTGCACGATGCAAAACGTGTCCTTTCATTCACAACACTGATAAAATATCGGGACCTAAACGATCCATTAAGATCACCGATCACTTCACGTGCACCTCCGCCAATGTAATCTATTGCATAACTTGCACTTATTGCAAAAAGATATACATCGGCGAAACAGGCAGAAGACTAGGTGACCGATTCCGAGAACACCTTCGAGACGTGGAAAGGAATGACAAGGACACATCGAAACCAGTCGCTAGACATTTTAATTTACCTAATCATTCTAAGCAACATATGGCAATCTGCGGTCTTTCCTTACACTTAGGTAGCACGGAAAGCCGTAAAAATCTTGAACAAAAGCTCATCTTTCAAACCGGCAGTCTAAATCCCACAGGTATCAACGAACGCTTTTCATTCCACTAATTTATTCGTGTTTTTCTCGTTGCCATGTTCCCACCAATCACGTAGCTCCATTTTCTGCCTTTAAAAGCACACACAACCCACAATTCCTCTACTAGCTCCGACGAAGGGCTCACGCTCGAAAAGTCAGCTTTTATAATCGTAACGGTGGCCAATTTACCATTTCAACTTTGTTGTTATAAAGCCTCATGATTTCTAAGAAACTATGAGGTGCTTCACTCAAACGCAATTACCGTTTAATTTACATTTAGTTTCAAAAATAAGAATGATCATTTCCTGTGGAAAAATTCGCCGGTTAAGTCATGTGAATATCAGTTGAAATACGGCTAGGTTTATCTCTCCATCGAAAAAGCTTGTCACGGAATGACTTTAACCATTGGACTCCTTTTGAAAGCCACGGGAATGTCTTTTACTGTTCAACCTGTGTTCTGACCTAAACTGAAACATCATCTTTCGCCTTTCCCATTATTAGCCAAAAGCATCACGTTGACGTTCAAATGTTCGAAAGAGCTGAACTCTTTGTATCTTGATTCATTTTGGTGTAATGGTTAAATTACCAATGGGCAACACTGCCGACGCAGGTACTATGCGAGAAGTCATGGACTACCTTCAACACAAAATAATTACTTTTGTTCCAAGTACGCCTGTGTCATTGGTTAAAAAAAAAAACATTGCCTTTTCGCTTTTAGGTTGCCAATAAAAATTTCCCTTGAACACACAACTACCCCACCTTCTCCCTCCTTCCCCCTCCCCCCGGGGAAAAAATCAGAAGTCTTTAGCTATTTTAGGAAATCTACTTCCGCGTGCTTACCATCTGTGTTTTGTTTCTAAAGATTCTCACTAGGATAAACTTCCACTTTCGGCTGTCAAAACATATAATCCTGGGATTTAACCTTCAAATGCACTATGCTATCCACTGGAAGGATTCATTAGCGAATAGCGTCATCCAACATTAGAACAACCGGGGCCTGGCTTTCAGTCGCTCGTAAGTTGGATATATCAACAAAGTTGAAATGGTAAATTGGCCACCGTAACGATTACAAAAGCTGACGTTTCGAGCGTTAGACCTTCGTTGGAGCGAATAACCGGAAGTATAAAAAATTCCTGAACCTCGACCAGTGCAACTGACTTTAAATAATGAAACGAATAAAGTGAATATTAAACTTGCTGAGATTAATTTAATCGGTTCTTTGGTTAGTGAATTGGCGTCTGCACTTTTCATAGTAAACCCACTGACCATGATTAATTTTTATTGATTTACGGCTAAATATACTAAATATACCCAAACAGTTTCTTTCGAAACTATCAGCCTTTATTCATAAATATACTTTGTTACAGTTTCGAAACTCAATCATTAAAACTTCCTCCCACGTGTAGTTTCTTCGGTTGCCGAAGACCCTGTCACCTTTCAGGGCAGTTCAGTTGAATGGTTTACCGACTCACCTTCGAATACTTGCTCTAGATGTTAGATTTTAAGCCCTCTTTAAATTAATTTTAATTTTACTCAGATCTTTTAATTACATGGCTTTTCATTTTGAATACATTAATTTTCATTGGTTTAGATGTTGATTGACAGATAAATATAGTACAATTCCACTGATAAATCTTTATTTATGAATAAGGAACTTCCTGTTTTTCTCGAAAACGCCTTTCCGTAAACCGCTGCTTCTGGCGGGGGTTGATTAATGAAACGAACATTGAGTCAGAGAGACTTGTATTCGATAAAGGAACCAAGAACATGACTTCAGGACAAAAACTACACTTTTGGATTCTCGTTTTCTTCTCCGTGTTCTTACTAGAAGAAGCCGTAGATGGTGAGTATGGGAAGAAAACCCAAAGTCATGTTATCAACTCACAAGTTTCAGTTTCCTAGAACACAGAAGCTTTGTACATGAATAGACTGCGAATGTATCAGGAATTTTTTGAACATGCAGTCTTTTCTATCATAACAAAACCACAGATAAAGACAAAGAAGAAGTTCTGAGCAGATCAAAATGATTTTAAATGACGCAAGAAAGAACATAGGAAACGCTACCATCGTTGTAAAACCTAAACAAAAGCAGGTTACAACTTCATCTTCCGTTTAGTAATTCATGAAGCAATAGATTGAGTATAACTAATTTTGTAGTCGAACTAGTATGTGATTTCCTTTGGTTGCAAAAGAACTATAGATATCATAGTTTAGTCAGTATGTATATTCAGCTCTTTTAAACCCTTATCATGCTGAGTTCGACTTCAGGTTACAATCCCCTAAACTGACTTTATTTTTAGTAACACACTTATACACGACAGTTGATCCTTTCATCAGCAGTGCAAGCTTTACATTTCATCAAATCCTAACAACCTATATATCAAATTAAAGCTTAAGAAATTGCCTTTCTGATTATTCTATTACAATAAACTTTTAACCTATTTTGCTTTTAAAATTTTAGCTATGAAATCATGCTTTTGGAAAAACTTGACTAAAATTATACATTAACAAAAAACAAATCATATCAATTTCTTCCAAAAATTATCTGTACAAGCCTAAAATGGCAATCAGAGTTAAGCCCTAGTCCACCAGCTTAATAAAACAATTCCTGTGTCTGTGACAACATTTGTTTTTCTCAATACAGTAGCAAGACTGCATACTTGTCAAGTCAACACATAATCAAAATTAGGAATTTATGTACATTGTTTGGTTTTGAATTAGTTCAAAACAGTCAGCTCAGTTGTTGGGGTCTATGTTGTAAATTTATGTATTTCTGTGTTTGAATTGACTTCAAAACCTAACAAAACCAAACAAAAGATGAATAATGGTTATGATCAGTTAGTTTCAGCATCCTCATTGTCATTATTGGCATCGTGTCTTCGAATGTAGGCAGCAACATAGTCCTGAACAGTGTGGAACAACTGGAAGCAGTCCTGTATACAGAGGGCTACTTTACAGACACTGCACTGAAAGCTAGACTCTTTTCCTGGCCTCTTCCTTTTCTCTCCTGCCCTTTTTAGGATCTTCTTTTGGGCAGGAAAGCAAACCGCACATGCCCGGGTGATGTTGGACTTCTTCCCAGTGCCCAATATTTTCTCTGGGAAGTGACCTCCAACTTGAAGACGGGTTAAGCCTTCGGCTGACCTCCTTGGGCGGCCTCTCGGAGTGAGAGAATGGGAGATGCCAGAATTCCTAACAAGCTCCTTCACAAGCTCCCTTCTAAAAGTCCTTTGCAGCACAGGTGACCGGGTTCTTTGCTTGTACAGGATGTAAGCATTCAGGATGCTTAAGGAAAACAGGTGGAAGAACACTTTCTTCCACCATTTCATGGTGCGTCGCCTGAAGCAAGAATAGGCCACCATCTGATCACATCTGTCAACTGCTCCCATGAACTTGTTGTAGTCATGGATAATCTCAGGTTTAGTTATTGGTTGGCCAGTTCCAGGGTGATTTCGGCCAACTTCTACATCC